TATGTTTAATTTCCAGATGTTCAGTGATATATAATTGCTGTGATAGACTGTGGGGAATCAAATAAGAACAGATCCCTGTAAGAAATGGGATTGTTAGTGAGTTCACTGCTGGATCATAATTATTTATATCCTTTATAATCTATATAAATACGTGATACAGCATCCAAACTATGCCAGTGCCCCACTAACCAGAGGCATCCCCTCTTATTCCATTCCTCTTTCTGTTTTTCACCCATTTTAAACCTTGGAATATTAACTCCTTGAAATCACCAAGCTGTGTTAACCACCACAGGGATGGAGATATATAATATTGAGAGCTTAAGCACAGCTCTTCTCTCCTTCACAGAGCCCAATTTAACACAATTTTCCAGGGAGATGGGAATGCTTTGCTAACTGTCATTGTCTGCAAAACTTCTCTTACAAGGGCTTATAAAACTTTAACAGGGAAGGGAGAGACCACAGCAGAGGAATTAACTAAACTAGGAAGCACAAGGTTATTTTCCACCGCAAATGTTTCTTCAGAAAAAACACATAATTAAAAAAATAACAAAAATAATCCCCCCTTAACCCACTTGGATTTTTCCAAAAGCCCAGAGGATTTCTTGCAACCACACAAGTCTGGTGAATTTTACTCCTCCTCTGCATGGTGGGGGAAGAGAGGGCTTTGTCCTGTGCTTTTTGAAATAAAATTATCAGCAGGTGCGGTTGAAAATTAGAGGTTAAAAAGATCCCTATGCAAAAAGAGGGTTCATATTGTTAAAAATGTGGTAATTAAACAGTGAAATGGACCATCAAGCAAAGTGATAAATCACACTTTGGTTTTAGGAGTTCCTCTGGAAGGACATATTATGGCACAATCACAAGGCCACAAGCTTAATACAAGAACAAACCGTGATAAAGATGTCATCACTTCACTGAAATGGCCCTTCTTGCCCTCCACTACTAAAATCCTTTGGGACCCCTGGATGGCTGTTCAGATTCTCTTTAATCCTCCTAAGTAAATAAATTAACAGGACAGAATATTCTGCTCAAACCACAGCTGATATATCCATTCAGCCTTCCCATACATTCTAGACATTCCAGTGAGCTTTCCCACTGAGGGGGAACAGAGCTGTCAGGATTTTGTGTGTTCAGAACCCTAAAACTGAGGGCAGCAAACTCCAGTGTCTCAGGACTGAGAGCTTGCCAGTCAAGGCAAAAAAAAAAAAAATGCTCCTATATTTCTTCCCACAGCAGTTGATCCCAGTAGGCAGAGCACTTCATCTTATATCTTTTGCCATATAGAATTAATCAACCCCACCGAGCAGAATTTTGCTCTTTACAACCATATCCACCATCAACCATCAGGACTTTAAGCTTCCCCTCTGATTTTAGCAATTGCAGCCTGTTCCCATGCAAATGGTAAGAGCTGCTGTTAAATCACACACTACTTTGTGGATACATTATACAACTTTATATCTATTTTCC